CCCATAAATGTTTGTATAAGCAATAACTTCTGTTGAGCTAAAAATATAATGATTTTTTTCTGGTAGCTAGGCAACAAGAAAAAAGTCACTTACCTGAATTGCGTTTTATGTTATTTCTAAATCCTAACTATAGAGATTTTTATTCTCTGTTCTTTGAAGATGACACAAAGAGTGCCTGTTTATTGTTTAGCTAAATTGCTTAATGTATTATTTGATACAGAAAGCAAATCAAACAATTTCTCCTTTATCTCTTATCAGTCATTAGCTTTTTATCCCTTGTCTTTTTATAAATGTTTGAACATAATATAGCAAATGGCACACTTAGGTAACTTGCATTAGTATCAGAATGTAGAAGGCATGAAATCAGCACTTTTCTTTTATTCCAAGCAATTCAAATATTGCTCCTATCTTATTTATCTTCATAGAATGTATATTTTATTCTTATGTGCTGCTTATTTTACACTTAACTAAAAGACAGGTAGATTTGTCTGTTTTTGTTTTACATAATTTGATATGAAAATCGAGCAACTAAAGGAAAATGATAAGATACCTGGAAAAAAATTAACTTCTATTGTTTTCATCTCATTCCCATACATTTCTTTCCCTCATCCACATTTGGAATATTCTCTTCTTCCCAGCAAATCATTCAGAAGTGGGACATGTTTCATCTTACAGAGAAATTTCAAACTTTTTCAGGCAGCAGAACTTGCTAGTTGAAAACAACAACAAAATTTGAAATCTCTCATCAAGACAAATCTCTAGTCATAGAAAATTGGTTCATTGAAAGATCTTTTTTTTTGTCCTTTTTCATGGAATGCCACAAAAACTCAAAGATTCCTCAAGACACAATCTAATGTATTCTGTCAATAGTTATATAAATATTTCAGACATGACTGGTGATAGATATGGTATAGAATGATTAAGGACTGCAGTCTTATACTTGCTGATAAGATCACTCAGTGCTGTAAAAGTTACAATATTAATTCTGGAGGATTTTCAACATGTCCCTAGAAATTTCCGTTTGGGACTGTTCTTAAAGAAATAGTAGTGATGGTAATTGTATTATCCATTTAGAACTGGAGTGAAAATTACTTCCATAGTTTAGTAGAGTTTGTTTATTGAATTTATTTAGCTACCTATCTGACTTGCATGTAATTCTGAATGGCGTTCTTACTTGAAATCATGAATCATTTTTGAAAAATTCTCCCAAGTTAGATACATAGGATCACAGAGTTGGAAGGCATCATTTAGGTGAGGTCGATCCCTGCTCAATGCAGAAATCCAAATTATAGTACCTCAGATGTAGGGCTATCTAGGCTCTGCTTGAATAAGTCCAATAATCAACTGTACCCACTGTCAAACTCTTCTTTTTTTTTTATAACTTTAAATTAGAATCCATCATTTTTATAACATGTGTTCCTAAAAAAAAAAAAAAAACCTTTGAAAATATTCATTTGGAAATTCAACCTCAACAGCTTGGCTACAAATCAAATCATACCACCCAGAGTCAAATAGGGAGATAGGTAGCATAAAATTTAAATAAATAAATCCAATCAGTTCTAATATATTGCTTCTGAGTGGTCCTTGGTGCTCTCTGAGCTTGGTTGTTTTCTTGCAGATGTTTCATTACCTAAATTGGGAAACATCATCAGTGTTCGTAAGGAATGGGGTTTGGGCTTCCGGTTTTGCACAGTTAAGATTTTGCTGGCAAAAGATTATTAATGAAAATAAAAGGAAATTGCCTGTTTTGAAAAATGAAAAATGAACTGGTGCTGACATCTAGTGGTGGATGAAAATACATAACTATGGCTGAACTAAACACAGGAATTGGCAAGCCTAGGAAAAGATAACTTATTATTGTGACCTTCAAAGCTTTAACTAAACAAAGAACAACCCTAATAAAGAAAAGAAAACATTTTGGGCTATCTATAAAGCGAGAACTATAAAACTAAAATAAAAAATGGACCTTTCTGAATTATAAATACTTATTGAACTGTGACTTTAAAGCTGTTTGCAGAGAAAGGAAAACTTTGATTTTGGGCTATCATGGAACATCAGAGGTCTGCAGAAAAAACATATCAAGAAAAGACAAATACTTTCCAGGAGGAAATGTATGCTATGTTATAACTAATACAAATAACAATGACTTCAAATCACGAGAAAATCAAAAATAATTTTGAAAATTTAAATGAACATATCCTCAATTTAACTTCATAGCAAACAAACTCTCAGAAAACAACAAAAGAGAGCGATCAAGTAAAGCAGATAACTGAGCATAAACTAGAGGGAAGAGGCTTAAAGATGAAATTTAATTATGGAAGGAACTATGATTTAACCCTAGGTGAGGAAAAACCTGTAGGAAATATTGGACATGGAAAAGACAATTTATACTTCAAGATTGCAAAATAAGTCTAAGGACAAGAAAAAAGGAGAATTACGAGAATTGGAGAGACAAAAAATGATAAGAGAAACTATGAGAGAAAGAAAGAAAAAGATTTTCAAGGAATATGATGAGGCGAAGCATCTCCACAAAAATATCTTACTTGGCTCATCTCTCGTACCTACAATAATATTTACAAAACTATAGGAAGATCCTTTGGTTCAGAGGAGCACACTGATTAGGAAAGATGCTTGGCAAAAAAAATGCTAAAGTTAAAATTAAGATGATGGGACTTATCAGATAGAATATTTAAAATTAAGCACTTGTTTGAATATGGCTAAAGAAATAAAATTTTGGATATAAATAAATTTTAGTTTAAGAGGGATAGGCTTTTTAAGCAATATAGTATTTTTTGTTTATGATATGAAAAATATAAAAATGTTGGGATGATTTATATGAGGCAAATGTTTTAGATACTTAAGGATAATGAATTTTGAGAAAATTTTAATTAATAAGAATGTCTTAAATAGTTTTAAAAGATTAGCTGTGGATTTATTAGATGGAATACTTAAAGATTAAATATTGGCTTGAATATGTTTAAAAAGAATAGAAAAAAATTTGGACATAAATGTATTTTAGCTTAAGAGGGACATGTTTTTCAAGTAGTATATTCTTTCTTTTTTTCTTCTTTCTCTTTTTTTTAAGATATGAGAAGCGTAAAAGTGTTGGGATGGTTTGTATGAGGAAAAAGACTTAAATATTTAAGTGCAATTAACTCTAAGAAAATCTTAACAGGAAAAAATATTTTTTTGAACATTGAGGGAAAAACAAACTTAAATGAGAACTTTAAAAAGGATCTATGACAAGATGATTAAGATGATTAATTAGAAAAGAAGATTTGTATTGATTTGGTTGTTACTTGTAGAAATACTAAAAAAATGTCTATATTCAGTTGTTATCTACTAAGAAATGTACTAATTTAAGGTTGATAAAAGAGAATATTATTGGAAGAAGAAAAAATCAAGGAAAACTATTATGTGGAGTATGGAATTATAGAAATTAATTGTTATTTATTATTTGTAAATAGAAACCCAGACAACACGTTGTTTACCATGATGATTATGTTTAAAAAAATAATAAAATATATTACAAAAAAAGGAATGGGGTTTGTTCTTATTTTATATTCTAGCTTGCTCTGTCAGTGTTGGTGGGAGTTGTCTTGTGATTCTTTGGTTGGGCTGTTTAGGATTAGCTTGTTTGGCAGTTTCTTGATTGGGATATTGTTTCGATTATTGTGTCTAATGTTAATGTTAGTGTTAGTCTTTGCTCATCTGGGTGTTGATTGTTCATGGCATATTTGGGTCTTTTTGTTCTCTTTTTGGGTAGTTAATAATTGATTGTCTCTTTTGCACAATATGATGTTTATGTCTATGTTTCTTTAGAGGACCAATTTGTCAGACTGCCAGACTTCCAAGAATTGTATAGGGTTTGGGGGCTTAGCATGGTCTAGAATGGTCACAATTTCCAAGTTGAAACTATGATTAAATCTGTTTATGCGTTTTGAAATTAAGGATATTTTCATCACGTCTTTTGACTGCTAATTGGTGTTCATGGATGCACTCTGCTAATCTTCTGCCTGTTTGTCCTATCTAACTGCAGTGTAATTCTTACACTATATGTTGTAGATGACTCCTGTTTTTTTCTTCTGCAGCTGCTGTGTCTTTTGGTTTACTTAGGATGTTTTGGGTGCTTTAGTTGGTTTGTGTGGTATGTTGATGCCATGTGCTTGCAATAGTCTGTTGGTGGTTTCTGAAATGTTTTGATGTATGCCAGTGTTATCTTTTCACAGTTTGTGTTGTGCTATATTGGGTTCAGTGGCCAGGCACTTTTTGATGAAGTTGCGTGGATATCCATTGTGTTGTTCAGGGTTGCTGTACTGTTTTGTGTTTGTCTAAATAGTGTTCTTATATAGCTTCTCTTGAGGGATGTTGGGTTGTTACTTTGCTGGTGCAGCCCTTGCTTGGTATGGGTCCTTTTTTTATAGACTTGTGTTTCTACCTTGCTATTGTAGCTTATGCTGATAAGGATCTTTGGGAAAGTTAGTGTGTTGTGTGTTGTTGTTTTCTACTTCCCTTGCTGCTTCTTGATAGCACTACAATGACCAACACTGTTTAATCGCATATTTCTTTAATCAATAGATTTGTTTGACTTTTTTCCTACTTCAGTCAATGCTCAGTGCTTCCTTCTGAGTATCCACAGAGATTGGTTGGGAACAAAAGAGTCAAGGCCACAACCATGCGATGCAAACCAGGTCCTTTTTTCACATGGATCATGCCGTGTGAAAAAAGAGGCAGAGCTACCATCTCAACTTTTTGAACCCCTTCCAGCAGTCATCCCTGCTTCCTTTTTGGAACTTCTTGATTTATGTAGTCAGAGTATTTGCTTAAGCCTAACTATCCATTTGCTGAACAGTAAATATCCATAGTTATAGATATAGTTAATGTTTATTAAAATTCTGTTTAATAAATATATTTTAATCAGTTCTATTTTCCTGTCTATAGAAAAGTAGATATTTAGACTATATTACAATTTCAGCTGTATTCTCAAACTTTCTTTTTAGATATTTCCATACTATATATTTGGGCATTCGGAGTAGACAGAGTGGAGAGAATGACAGATGGCGTTTTTATTGGAAAATGGTCTATGAGTATGCAGATGTGAGTATGCTGCATTTGCTTGCTACATTTCTGGAAAGTGCCCCACAATTGGTCCTCCAACTCTGCATTGTTGTACAGACGCGCACCCTTCAGGCCCTTCAAGGTAAGGATTTCCCTGTTACTTTTTTCTAGATTATATATTTTCAGAGATAAAGTTACATCAGATTTCTACACACCTGGACAGAATTTATATGAGTTTAACATATTTACAGATCTCATTATCTTCTGTACAAAGTCTAAAACAGAAATGGGCAACCTATAGTTCATAAGCCATCTGCAACTCCATAACATTTTTGAAAGAGCAAAGTTAGCATGTCAAGTTTATCTCTCTCTCTCCCCCCCCCCTCCCTCCCTCTACATTAGACATATCAAACTCCCTCCCCTCCTTCCCCTCTCTCTAGATGTAGAGACATAGATAAACAGAGTTCTGCAAATAGAAGTCTCACAACAATCCCCTCTAACACTATTACTCAAACAACTGAACTGGTATACATTACAACTGCTGTATTCTATTATAAATATTCTACATTAATTAAATAGTTCAAACCCCAAGTCATTGCTTTCCAAGGAGGCAGGTATCTAAAATATGTATTCAGCTTTATATTCATTAATCCATATGTTTCCTTAGCTCCTTAAAATATAAACAACTAGGTTCTAAGACAATGATACAAACTGTCAAGTTAAAATTTATTCAGAGATATCATATGCACACAATAACAATGAACATCAAGCCAAAAGCAGTAACACAGAAATCTTATAATTCGGCTGATCAACTGATTTTATTCAATTTGATAAGAGCATGGATTTATAATACATTTTGGGAAAAATCAGTTTTTTGTTAAGTGTTATTATTTTTCCCTTCCAAGTTACTCTTTGAATGATATTTTTTCTTTAGAAAAGCAAGCCAACTGTATACAGAGGCTCCATTTGCATTTTTATGTACATAATACACAGGAACATTCTAATACATAAGTTGAAGGAAGACATTCCACCCACCTCCTATTTGCATAGAATAGTATTTGAAATCAGACTTGACATTTCAAATGTTCTGATTTTAAGAACTATATCTTGAGAGGGTGGCTTTTGATTAGACTAAGTAGACAGTTTTACATGTGTGCATGTCTACTTGTGTATAAGTTTGTATTCTAATCCTAAATCTTGCCTTTAATGATAAATCTGGTAATGTCAATGGTTTTTCTCTATATAGAATACTTTGTATGTGCATCAGAAAGTATAAATAAATGGAGTATGTTTCTTAAATCATAGATTCTGCTGTTGGATTAATTAAGAAATGTAAATTCATTCTAGTATTTTAGAATGCTTCTGCAGACATCATTACAATGAAAAAATATGTTTTTGTAGTCATGATAGTTCTATCAAAATTCAGTTCCTTTGGTTTAATGCTGTATATTATTTTGTACCTTGTTATCTTTAAAATCTGTGTTGTCTTTTTACACATGGATATAGTTAAATATATGCCAGTGCTGAAAAATATACCTTTGTAAAATAAAAGACTGATGTGTGAGATAATATACTGTTTTTAAGACCAAGTTACTTTTAAATATTGATCTCTTCTTTTGTTTTTATGGCACGCCATTGTTGGAAGACTTTTATTTTTTCTAACTAACAGAATTTATGCAATGGGGCTCAGGACACTATCTGTCTATTTATTACCAGAATGGTTGTCTGAAAACAAGATGGGGCCAAATTTGGTGTGATTGAGAAGAAAAAAAAAGAAAGTTTGAGTTTGAAAAATGGTTAGATCAGCTCAAGGTCTGCAGAAAAGAAATAACCAGAAAAAAAATCCCCAGTGCATCTTTACAGAGGAATAGTTGGATAGTTGTCCAGAATGTTGCTGACTGTTCCATTCCAAGCCCCTTCACTCCCAACCACATGACCATGACCAGGAGCACAGCATACACAGCCTACTTGCACTTCCCTGTGCATGCATACACCCAAACACATTCAAATGCTCCAAGAGGAGAAAGCAAAAGCATACCTCAAGATGTTATAGCCATGCAGCAGCTGCAGTGGTGGGATTCAAATATGTGAACAACCAGTTCTCTGTGTGGATCCCACTTCCGGAAGTCCATTCTGGGCCTGGGCAACAAAAAATTAACTATCGGTTCTGCCAAAGTGGTGTGAACCAGCTGGTTAGACTGTCATAAACACATCGACAACAGACGTGCAAAACCCTGATTAGTTTATAGTGAAAAAGTATATGCAAATCAAGATGCAACATATTTAATTACAAACAAGAAAATTCAGACCCTTCTATCATAGGAATCCAATGTGAACTGTAATGATCAAAGGGTAATGTACATTAATGTACATTAAAATATCACTACACAAATCCTGGCCTTTCCTATTTTTGTCCTATTTGTATATTTGTATACAAATATTTGAATCTCATGGTTTAAGTCTGATGCCACAACACAAATTTCATTTGTCACCTCTTCAGGCATCCATGATTTTCATAGTTGATAAAGGGATTGAAAAGAATTCCAAAAAACTAGCTGATATTTTCTGTATGTTGTCTTGTGTTCAATCTGGACAAGTCCCTGCAAAGGGTGACTTGCTCAAGGTCAACCAGTTGGCTTAAGATGGGAATAGAACACTAGGTCTCTTGGTTTCTATACTGATACCTTAACCACTACATCAAACTGGCTCTATTTAAACACTTATTCTATTTTTGGGGGAAGAAACTGTTAAACTCCAAGTTACACTTTCTTTCCTCAACAACCCAATCCAGACATGATAGTAGTCCACTATTTTGATAGTCTCTTGCTCCCTTTAGATGTAGATAAATCTTTCTTCCTAAACACAACTCAAAAAGTTGCTTTGGGTTGCATACTATGTTTCTAATATATCAAATCAATTTTAAGGGATGAAAGAGCTTACATTTCCTCAGAACAATAGATCAGATTAACATGCAGTGGAACTTCTCTTGTTAGAAGATCAAACTGTCTAAATCTGTTTTGGATAATTCACAACTGTATAGCATTTAACTTAGCATAGTAACTATTATTAACAGATTACTTAGAATTTTAGAAACATACTCAAGGGGTTCTCTAGCATTGCTAGCATTGTTTAATACTTTAGACATTGAAGTAAAACTGGGGAAACTCACTTTCGAATCCATGTTAAGCCACAGAAACTCATTGAGCAGTAGTTAATCATTATCTCTTAAATACACCTATTCAGAGTTCCTTTATGAGAGGAAAAATTATGGAATAAATTCAACCCTGAATCCCCCCAAAACAAATAGGATATAAAGGTAACAAATTAAGTTGATAAAGATGACTAATATTATCCTGACATATTAGTGTATAAATAGAGGCAAAAATAATATACTATACAGTTACATTTCTAGAGAAGTTAAGCACCAGACATTTTTAAACTAACTTTTTGAACTGACAAGTGTTGTGATTTTGTTTTATCTTTTAGAAAGGGCAATCTCTTACTCAAGAATTGAACATAATGACAATTCACTGTAGATCTTCAGATAATGTAATGTTTAAGAGGCTGAAACACTATAGAACTGTATAAATGAAGCTTAATTTTTCACAGCTGTGCCCTGTTGCAGCAAATTTTATTTTTAAATACCAAAGCAATGCCTTTTCATTTTCTTCTTTGTTAAATGCAGCTTCAGAAGAAAAGGCCAATTGCTGTGCCAATTGTTCAATGATCAATGCACATCCTTTTCAATGTTTTCAGAGGATTGTGGCATTACAATTATTATTCAGCAACTTGTTTTCTTCTGTTGAGAAGACTAGTCATCAAAAAGATATTCTGTGTCAGAGCCACAGAACCTAATTTACCTTACATAAATACGTTTATGAAACAATGAATAGAAATTAGATCCTTTACAGTGAAGAGGACACTCTCGTGTTAGATTTTACTAGGCAGAATAATGCATACAATTCAACATTCAAGCAGTTCTTTTTCTGAAGATGCCATTAAAGAGCCATTTCCTCACGTACAGTGCAATTGTCCACAATATTTCCATTCTCCTGTAGAAGTAGGACTATAAACATGGAGACTGGCTATTCACTGAGTCACCAGTGCAATTTAGAAAAACCAAATTATCCCACAAATATTGAATTATACCCAGGAGATGTCAAATAAATCATGCTTCTGAATATTCTATATTTGATTTATCTGATTCAAACTTTATTTTTTTAAAATAATTTCTAAAATCAAACAGTGTAAATAGGGATAGGATGAGCTAAATCACCTTTTTTATACAGTAAATTTCTTTCTTGAACCGTAGTGCCTGAGTGGTTGTCTGTGGTTGTCTGGTGAGATCTAGAAGAGATGGTTTTCTTGAAATACTACCATCTACAAAGGATTGACTGACAACAAGAACAAAGGATTGAGTAGATAAGGTTGACCTTTCCCTATGAACTGAACCCCTTTTTGCAGCAGCTTGCCTTGACTATCCAAATCTCGCCCATATTATTGCATTTCTGAAGGACTGTAAATACATGGTTCTTTAGAAGAATATTTGAGCGCATATTATGCTTTTGATGACTTTTTCTTTTGTTGTTGAGGTTTATTGCCTTTTTAATTTAATGTACTACAGTATTTAATTTGTGAATATAATTTGCTCACAGCCTTGGAAATTGAGTGACATAGATTTATATTTACTATAGTAAATAACATCTATGTATAATACTGAATATCTTTCTCATTAAATAATGAGGTTTTTTTCTATCTGTGATTTGAGTTACCACAAGTGCAATCCATTGACTTTATTCAGTGCAGGAAATTCACTACCACTAAATCCCCAGAAGTCTCTCATTCAGTCACTGCTTAAAAACATTCAACATTTATTTATTTAACACATTAATATAATGACCCAATTCACACACATTGACTCTATTATCTCCTGCCATAGTGCTTTCATTGTTGAACAGCTCTTACTGTGAGGAAATGTTTCCTACTATTCAGCCAAAATCTCCTTCCTTCTGGAAGAATTCTGAGCAATTTTGCTTCATTTTTTCCACAATAGCCATTCAAATATTAGAAGACTGCTAGCGTATCTCTCCACTGTCTTTCATGCTGCAAGCTGAAAATATTCAATGACTCCAACTATCTCTC